GCAACACAGACCAGAGGTCACAAGTCGAAACTACATGGAAGCGCACTTAAATTGGAGAACAGGAGGAAGTTCCTTCACTCAAGGGGTTGTAACATGCTACCCAGTGATGTGGTTGCACTCAACACAACCCACAGTCCTGCCAAGCCATTCCATTACCAATTTTGCTACAACCAGCTCCTTCGTTGTCGAACTGATGATGGGCAGAGCAGATCAATGAATAATAAAGGGTGTGAACCCTAAGATTAAAGCCTCATTATTTCAACTCTCTTACTACTGCTTGATTACTACTAATAATAATTACAACATAGCTCGCCATTTAATACATCTCCACAAGCTGAAAACATGAATTAATTGCTTGCATGTTTTAGAAAGACACAAACGCTAGCTGAACAGTCTAGTTGTTTATTTCATAATAATATTCTTCACCAATCCATGTTTCATGACCCGTGGAAGCCAGCGCTAAGACCTGTGTCTGATATGGTGGCTCTCAACCATTATATTACCATCTTCATGAACAGCTAGATTCACGTGTGACGTCTGCCAAAACTGCCACCAGCCACCAAGGTTCGGAAATAAATAAAACTGGTTGAGTACGAGATATCGTGAATGATCTGAAGCGTGACCAGTTCAACTGGAAACAAAGTTTAATGAAGCTAAATGATGATTTATTTATTCCAGTCTTGTCCTACAGCACACCATTTAAAGCATGAAATGGATTATCTTAAATAAATACAATTAATAAAAACCCTGCTTCCTCAAAATGTACTTTGCTGTAGGTCATAATTACACTAACCATTTCAAGCCACTTTATTTCAATTCTTTAACACAAAGCTAATTGATTTGTCCTAATGCTGGCAGCCTTAGGTCTGTTGAGTTTTCCCAACTGGAGTGCTGTTGAACTTACTTAACCACCCGCAGACGCACATAAACATTCCTCCCAGGGATAAACAATTATCTACTTTTTTTACCGTCCCTAATTCTGTGAAAATAGCACTTCTAGGAAATATTGAAGTCTCTAATGGATGTGTTTTCCCACTTGGAATTATTTCAAAGATGACTTGTTAGACAAGCCTTAATTCTTCTCCCCGACCGCTGATGTGCGAATCCCACTTGGTATCCGTTGAGCCAACCTCTTCTGCCGACACTTGGATTCAGGGGGTCTGGTTACGATACCGGCAGGAACTACCCAGTAGTTCCTTTCCAGTCAGCTGCGTGTGGATGAGAATTAAACTTGAAAGCAAAAACAACCCCAAAAAACGCCCCGGTGAATTTTTGGGGGGGGGGGTTGGTTTGCCATGTCTGCGCATAGACCAGTTTGTCCCCAAACCCCCCCCACGCCCCAGGCCATGCTGCAGGGAGCATAACTCCTCCCTGCCCTGGCAGCCAGCCCCCAGGACAGGAGCAGGAAGCGGCGAGAGGTCACCGCAGGTCAGCAAGGACACCCCCTCGCGCAGCTTCGCCCCACTTCCACAATCCCAGCTCGGACCACGGCTCTTCCTTCTACACAAAAGGCCGGGAGACCACAATCGCACAATATGATTTCACGCTTCTGGCGTCTGGCCTTTTATGGATCGAATCAATATTTAATAAAAGCCGGGGTGTAGGACTCTGAGAGAGTTTCTTTTTTTATGCTTTCACGTCAGATCACACTTTCAATTCAAGCCTGTTTGTTTAGATGGGGAAGGGGAGCTCAGGAAACATCTGTTTTTATTGTCATACGAAAAGGCATTACGCCCCAAAGAGGATTTTATTTACCCCCTTGTAACAGCCCCCCTCCTCACCCTGTTTGGATACAAAGTGTGACTTTCACTACTGTCCTTGTCTCCATTAACAAGCTGCTCTGGAGAGGCTGCCGACTCCAGCTAGGGGACCCTGATGTTAAAATATTTATCGTGCCGCGATAAACAGAGACCCGTGTCAGTGCAACTTAACCCCTAGTCTCTGCTGCTTTAATTGCACAGCGACAAAAGAAATCTGGGTTCTCTTTATTCATCTGTAATTGAACCCTGTCCAGCAGGATCAGGCAAGCACCATCTGCAGAGCACTGTGCATCCACAGCCGGCAGAATGAAATATTTAAATTACTTTAGGCCACCCTGCATTTTAATGACTAATTGAGAAAATAAGGGAATTCTGCTGCATTTGTGTATAAAGCAACAAGGATCTTTACAATCCACACAGCAAAACCAGGTCATTATTTTCCAACAGTGCAATATCAAATCTTTGAGAAACTATATCATATTAATAGACAAACAAAAAATAAAAAACTGTAGCCTCATGGAAGACATATAAGCCACTCCTTCTCTCTTGCGAAGCTGTTAAATTAAACCATGTTTAATTAATAATGTTGGAGTCTTCTGTCACAATTAGGAAGATGTATGGTCAAACAAGCAAGTTGTGATGTTTCTGACAGAAATGATAAAAGTTCTCCCATCTCAGACTGGCAGGTACTTGGCTGTTGGAACAGCTCCATTTCACATCAATACCGTAACGTGATCCACTCCTCACGAAGAAAAAAAAAATCAAGAACACACTAGCAGCACCGCACTGACGCCAGCCACTGGCCTGAGCAGGGCAGCCTGGGAACAGACAGACGGTAGGACAAGCCAGCACTGTGAAATAACACTGCATCCAAACCTATTTTAATAATTCCTGAACTTCCACATACGCGATACCCACACAGACGGACAATTACATCTGGCTACTGCATTCTCCCTTGCAGTTTTGGGTTCCTGTAAAGAGTTCTATGAAAGCAAAATACAAAAACAATAAAACACAAACAAGGAGTATACAGCACATCTCCCTCTCTATTCTCACTCTGTTGGTCTGGTCTTTCACTCATGTTAAAATTAACAAGACTCTACTCCTCAAATACAGGTCTCAGGTCTACAGACGAAGGAACACAGGACAAAACGACTCAATCAATGTCAAACTTGCAGGGACAGAACACGATGCTTGAACCGATGGCTAGTGCTGTCCACAGGACCATGACAGACCCGAACTCTGCCCTCCGACAGACCCACGTCGCACTGTAAACATCTAAGAGGACGCCATGCCCAGCAGCTGCACAGCCATAACTCAAAACAGGCGGCTGTAGTTTCCCATTTGTACAGATCTGGTGGGGGCACAGGGAAGAGGCACGAAACCCACACTTTCTGTTTTTGAGGAACGGCAGCGTATTTTGATATTTAGGAGGTTTTGCTGGGGTGTGGAGTGGCTTATCCTGCTCCCTATGTTCCTTTGTTGTGTGCCCGTTTGCATTCATTAGCTCTGTGAGGTTCTTTCCAGTGCTCAGTACCTGCCAGGAGAGATTAAAGCTGCTTTTATTTCAGTACCATATTATTTATTATTAATTTGCTTAGCTGGGGCCCTTATCCGGGGAGACGTACAATACATACATGAAATTTAACCAGAGTTAACACACTGAAATTTATTTAAATTTAGTACTGGCATTTTTCTTCAGCACTCATAGACCCTGAAAGGCATTAAAATGAAACAAATCAGTATTGGACCCTGTTTTTTATTAATCCCTCACACTATTTATTTAAAATAGCTGCCCGCCACACAGGCAGAAGACAAAAAAATATGCCTTTCTTTATTGTTAAGGTATGTTCCATAGGTAGAACTTCATATGACCAAAGATTTTTCCCTTAAGGCCCCTAAAACAGCACACATTGATACAAAAAGAAAGAAAAATTGAGCACAAATATTAATGCACCTCAATTTTACTTTTTACTTTAAGGAGCCCACCCCTGAAAAATTTACAAAAATGACTAAATTAATTTAGAAATGAATTTAAAATGATTAACAGTAGACTCCCAATCAAAACAGTCACTCAATACAATAGATATTCAACACAGTGAAATGACTATTTTTGAAGCTCAAATAATTTCTTTGGTACGCATTTCAGAAATGAGAGCATCGCAAGGGGCAGAACTCGAACTGCAGTAGGTGTGTCAATGACTCGCTGATTTTCAGCAAGTTCAATCAGAAGAGGAAGGCTGAAAATCGATTAACCCTTGTGTGTGAGCACTATAGCCTGCAATGCTTGTAGAATTTATGGTGACGAAGGAGTACAGCTTGTTTGCTTTGGGGATTCAGGAGGAGCACTTCATTGTGGCTTTAGCAGTTCATAAATCACTTTATGGCCTGTCACATACCAGAGACCAGAACAAAAGTGACAGCTACATGCTAATTCACCATCAGCATCATTCATTATAGTAATGCAATGTACTGGAAATACAGGATCCAAAAGACACACAGCATAAGATGACAGCCATCAGACTGCTAAAATCAGACACTTTCTTCTTTCTGCAGAACACATTCCAACTTTCCAAACTTGGTCTGCCTTTGAATTTTAATCTAAGCACTACATGTCTACTTGCGTCGTGCACACACCGCTTAGAGTCTATGAAAATGTTAAGAATGTACAGTGCACATTGTACACCCAGTACACGCCAATATATTTAAGGTACACACATCACACACAGGGAACCTAAACTATTTCAACATGACAATAGTTCGAAGCGTGTTTATTTTTTGACTGAGGAACTCCGTTATTCAAAAATGCAAGGTTTTTTTTTTTTCAGAAAAAAACGGACACATTAATTTGGGAAGAACTATTTTCCAAATTTAACAAAATGAAAATATCCAGCGCCTACCGCAATGGCAATATTACCTTGTGGAAACAGAGATTAGGCTTATAACTCAGTCTTGTGCAATTCAACGCACAAGTCTTCCCGATGAAACAAGTTAACGAAACACAATGACGCTGAATTAAAAAAAAAACGGGGGTATTTTATTTAAAAGGCTGATTTAGGCAGCTCTGACAGAAGGGAACATTGAGGCGGATGATGAATTTGCGCACTAACTCCACGTTTCAATAAATGTCACAGACCGGGCTAATTTGTTAAGTTGTTTTTGAAAGCAGGGAAAATTGGTAGCAATTATAAACACAATATACCCACTGCAATTAAGCGGACTGCTTCCATCTTTTATTTTTTTAGCTCCTTCAGTATCTGCCACAATGATGCCGTGACCTTAAAATTCCATCTTGGAACACAGCTCGACGGTGGGGAGGGATGAAAAAAAGGATGATTATTAATGCATTAGCAGCTACGAAAACAATATAGCATGAAGGTAGTACGGAACGCGCCGGAGGACTGATAGCAGCCGAGCAAGACCGCCACGGCCTGCTCCCACAATGGAGCAAAGGAAGTGAGGAGTAAACCGGTTAGGCCAACAACTTGGGCTGCTCTTTCGAAGCCACCGTGGCTCCTCGGGGGGTAAGGCAGCCTCCTCCCTGCCCCGCTTGCAGCTTCAGACCCTGAGCAGCGAAGGGAGGCAGAGAGAACAATAGAGGAGCAGGGGGGGAAGGAGGAGGAGGAAGAGGAGGAGGAGGAGGAGGAGGGGGGGGGAGGGGGGCGAAACGGAATAAGAAAGTAAGGTGTCAATTAAAAAAATGAACCCCGGCGAATTCTCCATCTGACAGCTGGCGTGAGTGGACCTGACAGCCATCACATTAGCCAGCTTTGGTGGCTTCTTGTCCTCGGCAGTCCCGAGAGCTTCCAACCAGTACTTCCAAGGCGAGCGGACAGGCACACACCCGGCTTGGTGTTCCAACACCTCCCCTGCAGCTATCTCTAATAATGGTAATTACAATCATCGGGAGTTTAAGCAGGGCAAACCTGGCCTAGGGGCAGGCTGTAATGAAGCAGTCACCGCTACAGGAAAGAGATTTTTTACCCCCTATTTTAAGTGAAAGGGGTTCATTAAAAGAATGGTATTCTTTATTCAAAATAGGCAATAGATTAGCCCCGGAGACATTTAAGGTTTTTTTTTCCCCCCTGTGAGTGTGTCTTAAAATATATAATGTATCCACTTGATCTAATCAGACTAATGTTCTACACATTCAGTAAATGGAGTCTGAATGTCCTAAGGCTTCAAATAAAATCTAAGTGTGCGAGTAGGCTTCTTGTAAAATTAAGCAAGAAATGCATAATGGTGACGTAAAAAGATTTTTTTAATTCAAATCCAAACGACGTCAACAATGTTGTTAAACGATAGTAACTTATTGCACTGCAAGCATTCAACAACAAAAAAGCTGCAGAGCCATGTTTAAGATTATGCAAATACCAAGCACATCAACGTGTTCAAAAAGCTGTTTGTATACAGTAGCTTAAATGCATTGCATTAGTGAGTGTTTGTGCATGAGATGCAAAGAGGTATTTCATAGAACCTGAAAGAGAGCTCTGGAAAGAATAACCCTCTACTCATTAACAGCACAGAGCACAATCAGACTGTGCACTCCTCCTATCTCAGCCTGTCTGCACTTGGAGCAGAGCTCTGTATCCCAGACTGGGATTCTGTGTCCTGAGGGGAAGTGCTGATGGGTCTGTCAAGTCCACAGTGCTCCCTCACCTCGAGTGCCTCTCCTTATTAAAGCCATTCATTCAAAAGGTCAAACGACTATGTCACAGTCTGAAACAGCAGTACGCAGGAAAAGTGCTGTACTAATTCCTAATACTGAGGGGCTGCGCTCGTGTCTTAGTCGGTTCTCCGGGCTTCGGTTCCAATCTCACGCAAGATGGTCTCGCACACGGTTGGGCCACATTTCCCAGCCACGCTGTCACAGGTGACACTGTACCTTGGTTTCTTCCAAGAAATGGCTGCATAAGATGTGGGGATCAGTCAGCTACCAGCTACTGAAAGGCCCCCTTGGGTCTGTAGCCCCTCTCTTATGTCCTTAATAAAAAGCGGTGTTGGGCCTCTTACAGATACACTTAATTTCAATTCGAAAGCTCAGTTGTTATTTTTATTGTGATCTTTTTCCTCCCTCATCATAAATCCCAAATAGGTTCTGGGGATTCCTGAGGAGTATCGATTTGTCCCGAGACCTCCCCCGTCGACCGGTCGAGATCCCGTGAATTTAAGGGCCTTGCCGGTTGTTTTCCTGTCGTCTTCGGGATCCCCCTGTTCACAGCCTGTCACGTGCCGATGGGAGGATCTCTCACTGAACTCATCAACTATAAATGAAAGATTATCCCTTTTAGAGGCCGCGACGCTGATCCAAGTCAGAATTAATTATGCATGTTTTTTGCCAAGTCTATTTTCCAAATCTAATATTGCCAGCCCAAAGTATATTTTTGTCATTTATCCCACATTTCTGGGGGATGTTTACCAAGGGAGGGGTCATTTCTACTTAATCTCTACTCCTAAGGGTAATTAGCTAGGCTTTATTAATTATGTTCACAACAGTATGGCACTGCCTGTAGTATAGCCATCCTAAAATTCCCCCTCATAATTTAAACAGACACTTATCGTTACTAGTAAAACCGTTCTTTTTTTTTTTTTTTTTTTTGAGGTGATGACATACCGTCAGACAAACACACACATGACCACACTTGCACAGCTAGGTACCGCTGTGTGCAACTCATTTTCATTTAATTAGTCCCTGTTTTTCCTTTAACGACATGATCAATGTGACTCCCGCCTCCTGCATTGTTTATGTCAGGCGTGAGGTGCGATTTGGGATTTTATTTCTTGCCTTGAGGACTGCTTTGGGAGAAACCGTTTTTCCTTCTTTAATATTCCGGAAGCAGCGCGTTGTGACCTGCACCACCAACATGCTCCACCGATGTTTTTGTTTTGTTGTGGTACAGCACTTTATACGCAGTCAGCGACCGTGAGAAGAAACGCTCAGCTTAATTGGCCGCGCTCGTCACAAGCAGCTCCCGCGTGAGACGCAGGGAAGGAGCGGGCGAACGAGGCCGAGCACCGCGGTTTATTGGCGTGTAAATCGCGGAGCCGCACGACGCCGCTCCAGGCGACCGGGGAGCTGCCCCCTCGCTCCGACACGAGGCAGTGGGGAGAGGCCAGGCCCTTCCCCGGCCCTCCGCGCGGATAACGGGGGGCCGCCGCCGCCTCGCAGGCCGCCCCTGTTTGTGTTCCCTCGCGTGGCAGCTTTCATAAGGCTCCGCTCTTTGACTGGCGATGAGTTTATGTGAAAGTAATTAACAGTAATTAATCCTTAATTACTGTAATTAGCCAAGTCGCAGTAAATTAAACCACATCTGGAGCAGATGAGGGTTTCCGAACGCAGGCAGGCAGCAGTGACAATGAGAGACACTGAATTCATCTGACAGCATTTGTTTAAGTCTACCTGTTACACACACTCTGATTTGCATGAGGCTTATTTATCGGGGGGGGGGGGTTAACCCCCAAAGAAACCCCCCACACAAGCACACAAACACATGGCAACCATGTGGCCTCCAAACGCCTGAACTACTGTGTGCTGATCCTGTCAGCACACACACACACATTTTACCATCTTTTCACACCACACACATGCTATTGGACCAAACAAAAACAAAACAAACGGGAGTCTTTTATCATATTGTTTCTCTGTCATAGAAAAGGTCCTCTATTCCTGCGCCACACTTCTTCGAGGCTATTCACTGATTCCGGAAAGGAACCTGAAAAACATTTTAATTGATTTTTTATTGTGATGAATAACAGAAGTGCTGAGGCTTTTATTAACATGCTCCCTTGATGTTTCTACCGCGCACCTTTGAAACTCTGAAGTCCTGTCAATCCGTCGCAACTGGGGGGGGGAACATTTCATCGCCTGGTTTGCGAAATCACAAACACCCCACCAGGCTTCGGTTTGGTTATACACTGAAGAGCAAAAGAAACCTTTTCTATTTTTAACACGTGTGTTTTTCAGAGAAATCAACGGCAGAATACAGAATTTGGACCTTGGTTAAATGTTTTTGGTGTCGTTTTGATTCATTGTGTGCCAAGTCAGTCACCACACTGATAGACTGAAAAGTCACTGTTGCTTTTTCACAAAATCACCCCGCTAGTGGAAAAAAGATGAGGCCCACCAGGCAGCAAGGTGATTGAACCCCATTCAAGGAGCCAAAATGCTCTGCTTATGAAGGACAATACTCCTCTGTGCCACTGGTATGATGGTGGCCCAGCTCTGAGCTGGATGAAGCTGGCACACTGTCGATGTCTAGCCTGGCAAGACGTCACAAACATCGGCCGTCGACGATGACCGAGACCTGAGAGACCGCCACCGGGAACACGAGACGGACTGGCGCCGGGGAAACCCGACTGCTAGGAGGATCGAGCAGGGGCTCTCTGTGGGGCCTCGCTGGCTGCTCCTCCTGCAAGCTCATCCCAACCCATCGACTTCCCAGCGAAGTGCGAGAGGGAGGGACGCACAGCTCACCGGACCTGAGCCCCACTGAACACTGCAGGAGGAAGAGGGATGATGTGCAGCACCCGGGGAGCAGACACATGCCTGTCCAGGCTCTGAGAGAGTAACATTGCACAATCCCCCAGGATGTTGTACTGCTTCCAGTGGTGGCCACACATGCTTCAAGCCTATGACTTTCACAGCAGGTCCCCTGACGATCATCCCTGCAAATGACAACTGTTAATCCGCATAATGAATTTGCCTGTGTCATGCCTGTTCAATAAAATGGCAGTGCAACTGCTACAGAAAAGACGATCATTTTTCTGATCATTTCTTTGTGACTCTGCAGCGGATATAAGTGATAGGATTCGTCTGATGCTCAAAGAGCATATATATACAAAAGAGATGTCTGCTCTCTGCAAGTTTAGCCTAAAATTGCTCATGCAGTGAAATAACTATTTTCTCTATACCAGAGAAGAAAGCTTGATATTTTACCAAGAATTAAAGAGGCTCTTCCACATATGGAATTGAGGAATTTTGACAAAGATAAGATAAGGACACAATCACCTGTTGTACCTGTTGTATCAGGATTTCCAGAAAAAAAACCTGCCCTTGAATTTTGGTGTCCCAAGGAGTGCTTGAGTGTATGGATCATAAAGTTTGATAAGAGAAGCAATTAAAACCATTATACCTTTAAAATGTAAGCAAAACAACTAGCAGACCCGTAGTTTCACAACATGGCAAACACTTTCATTCTGATTCGTTTAAGTCCTGCATGATGTCCATCTGCTCTTTTTAAAGCTTGTATTCCAACTTAAGAACGTATTTTCTAAATTAAGCATATTGGATTTTTCTTAAGGTCTTTACTGTTCGTTGCAGGAGATATTTACTTTATTAGAGGTATAGTTACCTACTGTATAAATCACCCCCAGAGCCAGGTTAGAAGTATTACAATTTTGCAGCTAATTAAATAATGAGAACAGGTATGTAACTGAGACTGTAGTTAGAACAGGAATTGAGCCCAAGATCCCTGCTCAAAAATGCACAGTACAACTGGTCATTTAAAACCATTTTACTTCACGCTAAATGACAAAAGCTCCTTTTACAGACAGTAACAAATTCAC